ATACAGAACGTCCACAAGTCATCTATGGAAATCGCCGTCGGTGTAGCGGGTTGCATTGGCTGGCGGGAATGACATAGGATGATTAAAGTGAGAGGAGGGCCGGTCTTCGAGCGCTACTCGTTCCATCGACCGACCAAACGACCAACCGACCAGGTATCGAGCCGGCGATATACGAAACGACCTTCCATAAATTTTAATGGCGGAATCGGTGCACCTCTACCCATCGCCGCCGTTCTACCCCATGACTTCAACCAATCACTACCCCGTCGTTTCATATAAATCACTTGGCACTAGGCTCTCCTGCTGAGAGCTTTAACTGGTGATTTACATAGCATTAGGCGAGGCTATTCGGACGGGTGGTAGGTAACGAACGAACAAGGCCTACGACGAATGGGCCGTTAATGCCAGTTTGATAGGGCAGTAATATGTTTAGCCATATAGAGCGAGAAGTGCTGATATGTTCGTTGGGGAGAAGGTGAAAGCGGATATTAGACGAGGTGGCGATACAGCAGCTATATAATTGAGCTCAAATAACAATAGCAGAGAACGAGTTTTGATTGCTGAAGCACGAGAAACCGGAATCATACAAAGGTGAAAGTACAAGTCAAAACGTCCCAGAAATGAGAAACACTGTGAGTAAAGCAGAAGACCCCCCATAGGTAGTACTGTAGACCAACTGGAAATGAAAACGTTCCAAATGTTCGGGGAAAGGCTACGGGAAAGTTCGTTGCCGCCCCAAAAAAGGGGATAGATTCCGACGTTGAACAATCCCTTATTTACTTTCGAATCCCAGAACCGTAGTGGCATTTGTTCGCAGGTGCAATTCTGCTTGGTGGGGGCATTTGGCGCAGTTCGGCGACGGGGGGGGGCATTTCGTACTATCATTGCTTCCCTAGTTCCGGTTTACAAGTCTCACTCTGGCGAAACCTGTGAACTCTTGTGAAGCTGGAGCAAGGTCGTCAAGCCATCATGTTAAAACCTGAGGCTGTCTAGATAGGTCGACACGTCGATGGGAAGTAGCAAAAGTGCAAGATGCCCCCCCCCCATCCCCGAACTGCGCCCATTTTTGTGTTACCCACCGATCACCGCTGTTGCCTCCAATGGAGACCTGTAAAATCCTGTGAAGCTATGCAGTAGGAGGAGCTTCAGTTACAGTTGACAATAGTCTACAAGTTTTTCGAAGGTGAGACGTGTAACTGAACAGGAACTAACAAAGGAACTGCGAACGTGTAAAATGCCTCTCCCAAGCCGAACAGCGCCTAATTGCATTTGTGCCTATACAACAACTTGCAGTGAGCAATCCAATGAGCAGGTGATTCTTAAAACTCGCTTCCAGTCATTTAACAGACGAGAAAAAGTTCGATCTGATGTTTTCCAACGGTTTCCTTTACTTCTTTTCGACCAGGAAAATTAAGTGGGTTACAATGTAAGAAACTCTAAAAATAGAGATTCCAGGAAAGTGGTGTAAAAGCTTAGTTTTTACAACAACCACTGTCTCTATGCGAAAAAGTTCCGAGGAAAAGGTTACAAAAACAACAGAGCTGTTCAATTAGGCTTCCTTTAGGCAGGATTTCTCCTTTTCGCTTTTGATAAGTCATTGGCTAATAACCAGTAACTATTGATTACATAATGGCTGCTAACTAAAAAGGATAAATGATGAAGAACTTGCCCTTGATCAATTCTGTTTGGGATGCGGCACGCATCCTACTTACATTCAGGATTCAGGCTTTCCGAATGGAATATGCTCTATAGAATGATTGGCGGAGGTCAGCCGACATATAAACCAGTGATTTTATCCTCCCGCGAAAATCTGTCACCATTTAACCGGCCCAGGAGGGTGGAAGGCTTGGTTGGCCTGGACAGGAGCGATTCGGGGTTCGACCTCAGTAATTACTTACTAGCACCCAATAAAAAAATCTTCGAGGCAATTGTTTCCGAAAATTGCTGGATGTAGGAGCAATTCAGTCCATTACTCAGGTTTCCAGGACACACTGCGTTGTCTTCGAGTAAAGATTAAATGTAGAGATTATCCAAGCCTCCAGGATACGCCATGTACTCCGGCTTCTGCAGAAAATCACTAAGAGATATAGTCTTCGCAAAGAGTCTACGTGGTCAAGTTGAAGCACTTCTGAAGCACAGTTCTTCGATTTGCTAACAGACCTGACACCCACCAAGGGGCCCAAGCTAGCCGAATGGCAGGATACATTTAGTGAACAACTGCTAGCTATTGGAGTAGAAGGCAATGCTAGCTACTGGGCAATTATACAACTCAGAGTGCATTTTCGTGCTCGAAGAGCTGCTATCGAACATTGAGAAGAGGAAAAAAGGCGTCATTTGAAGAGCGAAAGGATATGTTTCGAGCAAGCGAAGAGAGAGCCAGCGAAAAAAATGAGGCTCATAGTGATTCCAGTAACGATAGACGAAACGTCGAAATATACTAATTAAGTGTGAGAAAGGACCTGAGTAATCGATAATCGGGCGGAAATAAGGAAAACGTACGTATTCAAGTACAGTCAACCATAACTGCAAGCTTACAGAGAAAAATTAAAGGAAAAAAAATAATCATTGTAATACAAAAAAGTATTACAAACAAAAAGAAAGAAAAGAGATAAATTAAAAGAAGTAATAGACATAGATAGAAAAATCACTACAGGTACAACTACTAAAGAAAAACCATTGAAAATGAAAAATAATGGACTATGTGTTGTAAACAACTTATCTAAAATGGGAATATATTGAGGAGGAGATCACGAAGCTAAGAAGTAAAATATATAAATAAGGTAAAGAAATCATAATGTAAAATTAATTAAAAGAATTTAAGAAAGTCCCGAGAACTTCCGGCTCAGTCAAAACCCATGTCCTCGAGACAACAAAAGCAAGATCGTCTTGAGTAGCCCAGAGCTAAAGGCTCGAGATTTCACAAAAAGTGTTTCAAGCATGAAAATGGACAGCCAACACCCGGCTATGCTCAGGAAGAGTAGAAACAGTTCTTCTCTAACTACAATGGTGGTGGAACGGTAGGTAAGTCTGCCCGCCCATATGGGCGAATCTACGACGTATCATGCCATCGGCACTAAATCATTCATTACGACTGCTCAGAATTACTCCATGACATCGATTAACAGATATCGATTACATGAACAGATAGCAGCAGACCACCCCCTGTCCCGAATGCTGAATGGCCAGACTCCAGACCAGGTTGGATTTGGATGATTGTCGAAAAAAAGTCGCATGTCGATAGACGAATCGAGTATGCAAAATGGGTCAAAGCCGGGCTGAATGGCTAAATTGCTGCAGTGCGAACATAATGAGTGGGTAAGGCGAAGGATTATGCGGAGAAAGGGTGCGAATTCAGGTGAAATTGGCTCAAATTGAAGATGTGGAGGTGTTATAGGCGAGCTGAACTACATAGCTCGCTAGCACATCGATTCGGTAGTTATAGGGCCATAAGGTGCGCGCTAGCAGGTGGTCCCCGGAACGATTTTTTGTCCACTGACCGCATAAAATTACGTTTCTGGATGTGATTCACCATAGAAACTGTTTAATAATGGCCACTGCTGTCGATCAGGGTCCGTAAAGCCATTTGGGTGTAGGTATTTACACAGTTGAGAAGAACTCCTTTCCACATTTAGAGTCTACCATACTCTCTTTGATCCATCCAAATGCCCCAATGCCCCCCCCCCCCCCCCCGAAGTCTCTTCGGAGAACTGAACTGCTGACCAAATGAACCGGAGACGAACCAGAGAGTCTGTTAAAGAGGGTTTCAGCAGCGACGTGTTAAAGACCAGGCCCAAAAAGGGGCTGGGATCAGGATGGGTTACCTGCCGACCTTTCCTCCTCCGGTGCGAACCACAGCCAGAATACCGCTACCCTACCAAATTTTCCCAAAATTTTACAGTCGACTGTGGAAGGGGTATTAGATTCCAATGAAGCTAGCCGGGAGTTCTACCGAGTCGCCACTAAGCATGAGAATAACGAGTTACATAGGCAAGAAACAACATTGCAAAGATCTCTCGAGGTACAAACACCACCTTCTCACGACCAATAAGATCCCCTTGATTGGCCGTTTGCCACAGCGGTAATCGACGCGACTAGTTTAAATTATTTGCGCATGAAAGCCACGTTATGGTGCGTGGTAGATGGCGCACTCACAAGCGAAGCTCCTACGCGTTTAAACCGGCGTGCTTACATTTCAGTGTACTCCTTTCCATTTCTGTTCTTCAAAGTTAACTTTCAGTGGACGGGGATTTCTGGAGGCCGAGTTTTTTTCTAACAGCACAACTCAGCCTCTGAAATTCATAATTATCCAGTGTCCACAAAGTATAGCTGGCACATGTCTATGGCCTCAAATGGTTGTGTTTCCCTTGGTTGCCCCTCAGCTACTGCGCATTGCACTGGCAAAGACCACGAGAGTTTCGTAGGGCCATAGTTCTAAGTCGTGACAAAAAAACTTCAGTAAGGCTACAAAAGTAGGCTATGTTACCCATAGACCTTTGATAAACCCGGATTCGTAATGATACACCGTCCTGTTTTGTACTAGACAAAGTCATGGTTGCAACTGTTTTGAAGCCGGGATATCCCTCTAGAAGCGCAGCTACCGCCACGTTTGAACGATGCACGCAGTCATGGACCCTCCATTTCTGAGTGAGATTCCTCAAATTTATCGACTACCTTTTGAAATTAACTTAGAACTTCCTATCCCTTTCGAGATTCTATTGAAGGCCCGTAGGTAATGAGAGTTTCTGTTCAGTGTCTCTCGATCACACTGGAGTAAGTTTTCTCAACAATTTGGAAAGAATATTGGAGTACCAGCAGGGTAAGGGTAAGAAAATGAAAGCACTTCAAAGATGAATTTTGATTTTTTTTGTTCTGAAAATATCACGGAAAGAAGCGAAGTTAAAAATGGAAACAGGAACATCCGTGGATGTAGAACAAAAGGCCAATTAAAATGCTAGACTGCAATTCCGAATTACCCACTTTCATCCATGTCAAAGGTTCCGATGGACTTCGGCCCATACGACCCGAAATTAGTTCAGAAACCAGGTCAACATGTAGGTAAGTGTTATTATGCTAATTTCAGGTCGTTAATGGACCTTAAATTGAATTACCCGCCGTGAACAAGGTCACTATGAGGCATGGGTAACAGAGGTGAAATGACAAATTCGGACCACGAGTCAAAACCCACATAAACTGGACTACGACCTCATCGACGCCTCGCCACCTCACTAGGGCACTTAGGTCGGAGGAAATCAGAATTCAGGCGATAATTGGCCTAAGCTACGTTGATGAGGGCACTCGAGGCACTCGTAGCATGTCATTAGCCGTGAATATCAAATCAACGAAGCGTGCTACGGGTGCGATGGCAGGGTAACCGTAGGGTCATCTTGAAAAAAATCGTGTTTACTATCGGACTGATATTGAACCGGTGCCGACTACTGAGATCCTTTTGAGCGGAAAAACAGTATAACAACAATTCAAGGATACTGGTCGCGATGTTGTCACTGGTTTAGAAACGACCGTACGAAGACGGGTTGAAGACGATTCAGAAGAACACCGATAACTAGCGCCATCTCGGATGCACTCGTCCGGTTGAGATGGACCGCATCGGGTTGGTCTGACAGCGAAAACCGGCCTTCACGGTTGATGCGTCTAACCCGAACCACATTCACCACGATTGCCGTGATAAGTTAAACATCTCCTGCGTCCAAGACCTATCCTTTGGGTTGTAAAATCTTTCAGAGGTAGAATAAATCATATACAAGATCCTCAGTGGCACCGTGAGGGGCTCTAGGAATGCTCATGATGTCGAAGCATCTGCTGCTGCCTTTGCTGATGTTGTTGCTGTTGTTGCTGCTGCTGTTGCTGTTGCTGTTGAGCAACCATGCAAGCTAAGGCAGCTTGCATGACGTTTCCGTCACTGTACGAGTTGTCGACCTCATCCAAACCATCACCAGCTTCTTCGTGTTCTCCCTGAAACAACTAATTCGAGTGAACTACAAATTTCACCAAAATTTTGAAAAAGGTAGTAACTATATCTCTATCCAAAGGCAGACCCCATATACCGGTCGTTAGTAACGCAGTTAAAAGATGAAAAGCGCCGGCGCTACTTGATAGTGAAGGAGATAACGAAAGAAACCTTTCAATCGCGAAATAAGTTTCCTGG